CCTTTCTTCACAAAGGTAAAGTCTTTAAGACTTGTTCAAATTGCTTGATTACGAGGTCTAGGAAGAGAGCTGCAAAACGATCTTCTTCCATAAATGATCAACAATTAGAAAGAGAGATAGAAGTGGTTGAGAAAATTTCTTTATCCGAAGTTGTCGATTATGTCACCAGCAAAGCTACTAATCTTGAGCACGATGATATACTATCCTTCGATCTTTGCGTTAAGCTTGATGATGTATTGGTTGCTGCACATGATGCAAAAAATACGGTAAAGTTAATAGTGGACGAGATCGAGGAATTTGATGGATATGATTGGGTATTCACAACTGGACCTGAAATGTCATTACGCCATCATGAAGTTGGTATATTTTATCTTGCATGTTCATAGTGCTGTGAACTTGAGCGTGAATATAAGGAATCAAACTGAAAGAGAATGATCCGTTTTGATTGTCATGGCAAGTTGACCATCCACATCAACATGCCAGCAAGAGAAGCAATGATTAGATTTCATCATAATATTCAGCATGAGAAACCTGTCGATATTACTACCCCACCGGAAGTAAAGCACGAAATTATGCAAAATCTTCATATGGATCCCGTGCAGTTACGAGCACATCTCCATCAAATGTTTGATGTTTCGCTTGTCACTGCGAAACAAATTTACTATTGGTGATCAACATCTTGCCAGCGCTTTTATAAATCAGATGAAGATCATGTAGTTTCTGCGCGTCACTTTTTGAAAGGACCCCATACTGTTGCCAGTGAGCTTTGTTTCGATTGGAGTACTGACTTGGTTACAGCGATTGGATTCACAACCTCTTTATTAGCTGGACTATTACCATTGTCAAATGTACATTGTGACGCAACTTACAAAACGACCAAAGGACACTTCAAACTCTACGGGATTATCAGTAACATTGAGGGTGCAGGATTTCCAGTAGCATATCTCATTTTGAACACTACGAAGGCGCCAAACAATGAAGAACAAATAGGGTTATAAACAACGGCACTTGCTGGCTTCCTTCGTTCTCTCTGCGACAAGGGATTGCAATCACAATACTTTTACACCGATAAAGACTTCGCAGAAATTAATGCCACAAAAGAAGTGTGGCCCAATGCTAATATATAGCTTTGTCTGTGGCATATTGAGAAGACTATCAAAGAAAAGCTTAAGAGTCGCAAGTAAGGATGCTTGCCTAAATCCTTTCAGAAAAATATCGTCATAATTTCGATGGGTTACACACTAATTGTTAATTAGAATTTCGACATAATTTCGGTTACGACGGGTTTCAAAATTCGTCAGAATTTCGACGGGTTATTTACTAATAGTTTATTATAATTTTGACAGAATTTAGACAGTCACTAAGAGATTTCGGCAAGCAACCTTAGTCGCAAGTGAATTCATCGCAATCAATACCAATTAGATGAAGCTGTAACAAAGTTTGATTTTATTAATCCCATTTTCAAGCCTGATCTGGAACGTATTGAGCCCGAGTACTACATAATATGCTCACCGAATTTGCGAGATAAAATTATCAATCTCATCAGAAAGCATTTTAATATGCACTCAAAAATCCCTATCAATGCTGCTGGAAGGTTCCTAACAGCTGACGAAATCTGAAAGAGTGCAGTCCACGAAATATATGATTTTTGTGCTGAAAATAATCTTGTTTTGCTCTGGGCATACTTGTGGTCTGCTTGGTACAAGATGTCAAAGTGGATACTCTGGGCTCGATCAACATGAATGATGATTCCGCTTGGCAAAACGAACATGTCTATTGAAGCGCATTGAAGGATCGTTAAACATTGTTATCTTTCCAGATTCAACCGGTCACGATTGGATTATCTTGTATGAATCATTTGTATGCGTATTCTTCCTGATCAGATCACTCGTCTCAATCAAATGCGCTTAAGACGAACGGCACCTTCTTGGTTCGATGAGTTCAAGAGTGATTGGAAGCAGCTCATCGCAAAACTGATCACTGATAGATATGAGAAACGTTACTTTATTGACTTGGATCGTTGGATATGTAGCTGCCCGTCATTTCTTTGTAGTCGTTTCCTCATTTGCAAGCACTTGGTCCATCACGCAGTTGAAGAGGTGAAATTGGTTGATCCACAAGGCATTCGTCTATTATACAGCAATTTTCAGCGGCGAGAAGATTACCCTTTTCTTGTCTGGAATGCCGGAAAACTGCAAAACACATCCGAAGAGGTAAGTATGCTCCAACCTTCAATTTCACAGTCTAGCATGTTGGATAGTGGGTATGTTAAGATGGATGAAGATGATGACGCTCTTGATCTGGAAATACGCCGTGTTTGTGAGCTAAAAGTAGTGGCTATAAGACGTATGGCAGAACATCTTGAGCAAGAACTCGCGGCCAATAATCAGCGTCATATTATGCGAGTTGTTAATAACACTAACCATCTATTCACCGTGCTGGATGACATTGAGACAGCACAACGTAGGCGGTTACGTGATCCAACATGGCGTGGATCAACTTCTTGGACATTATTTTTGCCATAATATTATTTTTTAAAAAAAAACGTTATTTAGGATGATTTGTATAATGAATTTTATCATTTATTTTTTTAAAAAAAAAAGTGAAGAAGTCAATAAATAAAATAAAAAATACTTAAAATAATCACTTCGCATTTTTGCATAATGATAATAAATCACAGAAATCGCAGAATAAGTACGTAATGTGAAGTGATTGATTATTTTAAGTTATAATTGGATCATTAATATCGTTGTGTATCGTATTACCAGATTGTAGTTCCGATAGATGACCGGACCAGAAATCATCAGAACACGTGATCAAAAGAACACGTGTTCGAACAATTCCCTCTACATCCTGGTGCTGTCCTCTTCCAACCAACCCTCTCAAGTACACACAGTCACTATTATCATTCTTATACAATTCTTAATTAATTACTATAATTAGTTAATATCTTGTCTATCAATATAAGAACGGTAACAATATAATTGTTCAATAAAATAACAACTATCTAAAAATAAATATCCAATAAAATATAAATATGAAATTAACCAATAGAATATAATAAAATATCATCCAATTAAATTTATAATATGATTTAACCAATAAAATAAGAACTAAATATTCATATCATAACAATAATAAAAAATATAATAATAAAGAAACTTTGTTAATAAAATTATTTTGAACTTATCATAATTATAACATATAATCTTCTTAATAATAAACTTAATAACTGTAAGAAGAGACCTGTTTAAAGATTTTTTGCTATAGAAATACTGTTAAAAAGAACTGGAATAACAGTAATTATAAAGATATTTGACTATATACAGTAATCCATATAAATAACACTTTACTTGTATTACTGATGATTAATTACTTGATCTGTGCTCATATACAAGTTAACGAACACAAATAACAAAAACATTTATATAGTTCCTACAAAAAAATAAAAAACAGAGATATTATTATTCCAAATTATCCGTAATACTATTAATCCTCTTAAGCGCTGATGCGTTTCTTATGCTATTTTTAATATGCATAAAGAGAGTTATAATAAACTTTCTTTTTTAATATAAAAAAAATTGTAAGACTTATATTATTTCAATTACGCATTTTTTTTAAAATATTTAAGACATTATGATTACAACTTACATATGGACAATGCACTCAAGTAATTGCATTACTTCAAGAAGGATATAGTGCCAGAAATATTGCTCTTCATTATAAAGTTCACCATTCAACCATACTACGACTTAAAAAAAAATATAAAGAAACCAAAAATATTAAAAATAGATATAAACCAGATTATCTACCAATATACGTGATGAATAAGCACTTGTTTGACGAATTATAACAGGTGAATGTAGAGCTTTAGGTAGACATGGTATAGTGATACAAATAAAAAGAAAAAACTATATCTATCACATATACATTGCGAAAAGTGACTGGCCTTTGCAAAAAAATATAAAGGTTGGATGGTTGATGATTGGTCATGAGTGATGTGGTCAGACAAATCAAAATTTCAAATATTTGGGTCTGACAAACACTAATATTGCTGGAAAAAACAAAATGAATCACTAAAAAGTGCTCATGTTCAACCTACGATCAAGTTTAGCAGTGATAGTATAATGATATGGAGTTGCTTCAATATTAATGGCACTGGATACCTTCATAAGATTGATGGAATAATGAATGGTGAATATTATCGAAAAAATCCTTTCAAATGAACTTATGTTATTTTTAGATTTGTATAATTTAAAGCTAAATGATTTTATTTTTCAACAGGATAACGATCCAAAACATACTGCAGATAAAATGTCAGACTAGTTTAATAATAATAATGTGATGGTTTTAAATTGGTCACCACAGTCACCCAATTTAAGTCCTATCAAAAATTTGTGGCATGATGTGAATATTCATCTTCGTGTTCTCCCAGGAATAATTTCTAATAAAAATGATCTTTGGAAAAGATTAGAAGAGGCTTGGAACGATATCAAAATTGATCGTTGTATTAATCTAATTAATACGATGCCGGAAAGGATTGATGATGTGATCAAGCGAAGAGGGGTTATATGAGGTGGTGAAAATAATGTTTTTTATTTTATTATCATTTTTAATAAAATATATTGAACGAATAAATTTTCGTTCAAAAAATGGCAAAAAAAACGCACCAGTGTTTAGGGGGATTAACGATTATTACAGATGATTGGGAATAAAAATGTCTTCGTTTTTTATTTACATATATAGTTATGTTAGCCATTGCTTATTTTATCGTTTGTGTGTTTGTCAGATCTTTCGTGATTGAGAATTGTGTGATTAAAGATCGACAATGCGAGTGGTGCGTTATTTATGCGGGCCACTGTATAGTAAATCTCCAACCACTTCGACTTAACGAGGTTGACTGTACATTTTTCGTCATCTTTGATTTATATCAAAGCTTTCTTTTCCGAAGAGGTGACACTAGTGACTAAAACATCTTCGTCTTCGATCTAGTTGTCTATAGATAATCACCTTGAGTTGAGGTCTATTCATATAAAATTTGGGTTATTAGTGGATTCTGTTTATTTAATTCTCATTAATTGGTATATATGTTGTGCCTCAGGTGACGATTTGCCTCAGGTATCGATCAGAATAGGAGTTCTATATACTAGATTAATGTTGGCCTGAGTGATCACGTGAATCGACACCTAAGGCAAAACGACATCTGAGGCACAACATATATATATACTGTCATCCTTCTATATATTACCTAACCATACCCTCTCTATCCTCTCTATCATTCCAGTTCGACCCCCATACAGTCACAACTTCTTATTGACACGGAACTAAATAATAAGAGGTTTGATGGATCTTACAATTTTAGTTTTCGGGCGAAGCTAATTTCGCCCAATTTGACCTACAAAGTGTTTCTAAATTAGGGTTTGGGATAGTTTCGGATTTTGAAAAATAGTTTCGCCCGAAACACTAAGCCTACAAGCAATTAGACCACAATTAACTGAGGGCTTGACTGTGCATAGTGTACTTCCTTTATAATGATATCTAGTCAACTCTGACTCTGTTTTATAACGAACTAACGGTTCATTAATGAAAAATTTGCCATATTGTAGAGTTAATTTACTATATACACCCTCGTTAATATGACATCATCGGGACATATCATAATATTGAACTATTCTGTATCGGTATAGTGGGATTTTGAAATTTATTATCTTTTCAAAGAGAATGACGATTGAAAGGTGATCATGTCGCGTGGTGTACATAAAAAGCAAATTCGAGATGCTGTTGTACAACATTAATTGCACTTTTGTATATAATCTCTCGAAGAAGAATCCCATGTGTTAGGTATAGTTGAACGAACCTATTATAATAGTAACAATAAATAACATTAATGGCAACCACTACACCTGCCGCTGATGCTGGCTCGAAAAACTGGCTCAAAGAGAGGGCTGCCATTTGTAAGTTCCACCACCCAACTCCCACTGTCTCCATCTCCCCAAGCAAGCATGCAAGCATCGTACAAATAGTTTAAATGTATATATGTATAGTTTTCCTATCATTAAATTTAGTCTTTTACAAAGTATTTATACGCGAACGCGCGAAACCTTTCTCGATTCTTCTTTGGTATTGAATTCTCCACGTGCTTTTTTGTACGCATGTACACTTTTCACACACGAAACATCATACATAGCCGCCGCTCATAGACGACAAAAGACTGACCCTGCAGCTGCTCGGCTCATCGAGAAAGCGGATCAATTGCATAAAGAACGTACGCACAGACATTTACGGGAGCCACTTGAGGGAGACGAGAAGGATGAAGTAGAAAGAGCTCCTGTTGAAAGTATTATTGAAGAAGGTGTTTATTTTTACATGCGTTTGGATTGATTCGTTTGGATTGATTCGTTTTTAATATTGATCTCTACTATTTAAAATTTTTCTGAAAACGTGAAATTTAAGAAACTGACGGTGAGGATATTGACGCGATCGTTAATGTACCTCCTCCGGAAGAAATTGTTGTTAAAGGTAAAAAAAATTAATTAATAAAATAGTCTTATTGTAATGACATCTTTCTCACTTGTCTTTTCTAAAAAGTTGCACCAAAAGCTGCCGCTGATGCAAGCACCGATAAGTCAGGACACAGCAAAGAGGCCACTGAAGAAATATATCGATCCTTCGCCGAGAATTTTATTGAAAGCACATTAACGACTGATTCATCTCTTGAGCTTTCATTTGATTTAAAGCCAGAAGATATAGCGAAAGATGAGACAACAGAGGAGGAGGAGGAGGAGGAGGGGGAGGAGGAGGAAGAGGGAGAGGAAGAGGAAGAGGGAGAAGGAGAAGGAGAAAGAGAGGGCGAAGAAAAAGAAAAAGGTATCCTTGGATTATTTGTTAATATTAGTTTTGAAAACATTTTTATAGAAGCTTATTCGGAATTTTAAATTGTTTTTCGTATTAAGATGTGGTGCGAAAAGATATAGATGAAGATCAAACAGAAAATCAAACTAATGAGAATATATCAAATTCTGCCGAAACTACGAATGAAGAAGGTATTATATCCAAACGATTTACTATGCTTAGCAAATTTCAAATAATCTGTGGTATCATTCTTACAATCATTCTGTCTTGTTTTGCTTTCCAAATCAAAAGATGCAAAGAGCAAAAAATTCGAGTCATCTTCGTTGTTGCCGGATGATGAATCAACGGTTTCTGGAGAATAATGTTAGAGGATGGAATCACCTTAATGAGATTATTCATTTTTTAATGTTGGTCTTTCCTTAGAACAATACATCGATTATCTGTTTATTTATATATGTTTTGTCTTAGTTGATTTTTGGTCATTAATTTTTGATTGTCAGCTCACCTCGTTAGCTCATTTCTGTATTGTTATTATTTACTAATTTGACGACGCTCTTCTAATGTATCCTTAATTAGAAATCTTTCAACAAGATTATGTTTAATGAAAATATTGAAAGGCGAAAAAGAAAGAGGGGAGATGAAATCTAAAGTATCATTTTTGCATTTTCCAATTATAATACAGCATGACATCTTTGCATATGACAAGATAGAGACCATAAAAGCATACAATGAAGGGTATATATATTTCCTTCACGTTATTTATCACTTGGTTTTTATTTAAATAAAGGTAAAGTGAGCTGGTAAATTTCAAGAAAAAACAAAAAAATCTTTATTATAATTGTCATAAAGATATATTAGTACAACAACGATAACAAAAACAAGATAAATCCAAAGCAAAGAATTATTATAATCTTTAATGTTATCAAACCAAGAAACAAGAAAAAATTAGACATTTGATTATATACGCATCCCTTACTAAAGACTGATTTACCATGCACTTACAATTCATTCAGTACAATAATTAATTCAATATATATATGTATTCAGAATCCTGGATTGTATGTGATTATTTTATCAACTCTGGACCATTCATTATAATTTTCGCGTCATTTGACTTATCCTATCCATTCCATCATCTTTAGTTAATAATTACCGCGCTGTTCTGGCGCGAGTCCACGCACCGATTCTGGTGGAGCTTCTGTGTTACACTTGAAACAAGTTCCTCGTGATGAATAGTTGTAAAACGAACAACTTGGACATAGCCAGTCACCAGGGGCAACTTCCCGTTCCTTCGGAATGGCTTTACATCCAAAACATTCTGTACGGTTGGCAAAGTTGAGCGTGCCACACTCGTTGCACGTCCAGTCACCTGGACGTCTACGGTCGAATAGGTGACGTTTAAAGACTTGAGGCTGTTTTTTAGGGATACGATAAAAAAAAATGTATGTATATTTTATTTATTGCTTTTGCCCTTTTAATATGTATATGTATATTTAATTAACTACACGTACCAATACCATAGCAGGTACAAGTTGAGGCCTGGTATGTAAATGATGCTGAGAATGAGAACACGCGCGTTTCGCGACTACTCCTGTAGTTCTAACACTCCAGATTCGATTTGAAAACGCGTTTACGAGACGCAACTGTTGTTTTAATACAGATTTAATCATTTTTTATTCACGTTATTTTTTTTGTAGTTAATATTGATATCAAAGCATAGAATGAAGAAAAGGTATTTTTAAAATTTTTTATAATTATTCTCATCGACCAACCAATCAATCAATTTGTGCGTTTTCTTGTTAAAAAAAGTTTGGGAGATGTGAGTCATTATGATTAATTTAGGTGCAAAAGTTTAAAAAATTGTCACCTGTGCTTTAACACAGTCAGACTTCTCTTTAACCACGCTCTCGCGACATGATGGGACACGAAAAAGCCGACACGGTGATATATTAACTTATCGATCTTTTTTCTATACGAACTTGAAAGGTAAGTTTCTTCCGCAGTAATCTTTGAAATTTCTCTTCTCATTTTAAAGAAACATAATTATTTAACTAAACAAAAAATGCAGTCCTTTACGTAATAATCAGCCGTTGTAGTATAGTGGCAGTACATCGCGTTGTGGCCGCGCTGACCCTGGTTCGATTCCAGGCAACGGCATAACATTTTGAATAATGTAAAAATAATTCTTTATTATGACTCTTATTGTTTCTTATTGTTAATTATTTATTGGTCGAAATTCAATTGTCCAATTAAACAAAGATTAGTGTCTCGAACATTAAACTATTTCCATTTCTTTCCAAAAAAATTTTAACAAGTTTCTCGGTTTGTATTTACATTTTCTAAAAAAATGACATATTGGAAGCAACCAAAACGCTCTTCATTCTCAAAATTTGTGCTGGTGGTGGTAGTGGTACTGAGCAACACATTACTCTTTAATACACTGGTGGAAGGAATAAAATTTGATTTAGTCGCGACAGCAGCTGGCACGGACCAATCAAAGTGTATCTCGCAGTATGTACCAGCTGATACAATGGTTGTAGTTAAGGTCAAAGTGGGAGTAGGGTATAATCAGAAAGTAGAAGTTGAGGTTTGTAATTTTTGCTTATTTGGTTTTTTTACGCGGTCATAGGTATATGCTATTCAATATGATTCAATTTCGATCATATGATTGAATTTTAACTAATTGATCAATCTTAAATTCTGATATATTCAATTTGCTCAATAAAGATAACAGATAATAGTTCCGCGCATAATGTCTATCGAAAAAAAAAAGAAACGAATAGCGATACACCAATAGCCTTTACAACTCAAGCGGATGCAGATATAAACATTTGCTTTACGAATACGCTTGCTGATGGTATCAATTCATTATTATTTTTCTTTTAAAACTAGAATTATATAGTAAAAACCCTTCTAATAATAAACAATCAGGATACTACCCAGATCCGAAATACCACCGCACAATCGATCTAGAAGTCGACGTGGGTGCAGAAGCAATCGACTATCATGCCCTAGCGATTGCCGAGAAACTGGCGCCATTAGAAGCAGAACTTCGAAAATTAGAACAGGTTGTGCAAGAGATTGTTGACGATATGGATTATTTAAGGAGACGTGAAGCTCGGATGCGAGATACAAATGGTGAGTGAAAACGGTGGAGTTTCTCTTTTTTTCGTGATTAATTGGTTAATTTTTTTCTCCTTTTTTAAACAATAAAAAACAAGAATCAACAAATGAACGAGTAAAATGGTTTAGTCTGGGAACTATGTTTGTGTTGATTTCGTTGGGTGGTTGGCAAATAATTTATTTAAAGAAATTCTTTCAACGAAAACGACTCATTGATTAGTTTTTTTGATTTTGATTTTTTTGATTTACCCAGTAATATATATGATTACACTGTACATTTTTTGTTCTCAACTTATTGGTATTTTTGTTGATATAAAGTGATATTTTATTTTAGTTTATAAAGACACTTAGATAGTTGTAGATGTAATGACTGGAGATGTGTTTATTTGCTATTATTTCCAAATGGTAAAAATTGTATTGTTAATAAACCCTGTTACTATAATATTCATTTAGCATTGCACGCGTCATTTAAATCTGATCCTGTATGTTTTTTTACTCAGGGATACTGATTGTTAATACCTCATAATATATATATATATATGTAAGCTTTAGATTATTATTTATTGTTCAAATCTACTCTACTATTACACTAACTCTACTAACTAAACTATAATTACATTATGAATCAGTAAATATACAAATACTAACGATTACTATGATACGATAGGAAGTTGTGAAATGTGTTCTTTTTTAAAGCATTAAAAAAGATCAGCTCACTCACGTGCCAAATTCCTGACAATTAGGCATACAATTGACACGTGGGAGCGTGGCTTTTATTGCCATCTTTACGTATAGCATTATAATCTGCCAGGCATCTATGGTATGAGGCAAGAAGGGAAAATGAAAATTCAATTTTTCTTAAAAAAAAACAAAGCATTAACTAGGAGATCGAATTTACTTACAGCCAACAAAATTCGTATTTGCAGGTGCTAACTTTGCACGACATATGATTACACCCTCCATCCTTTGTAATATGAACACCGCATTTCGGACAAGGTTTTGTCTCACGTTTTAGATATTCTTGAGTCGCCGTTTCAGCTTCAGCATATTTCATCATCTCATCATATTCAGAGCAGGTCATTTCTTCGTGCCATGGTATGTCATGCGTGTAGCAAGATTTTTTTTGGCATGCCTCACAAGTCATAATTGGAGCCTCATCTTCGTTTCATAAGTATCAAAAAATAAAAGATAAATTCAAGAGATCATGTACCTATGAGGTGATTAAAAACCAAACAATTTTTTACCTCCTTCGAAATGAATTTGTCCCGATCCGCATCCCGCACTCTTACACCATCGAAATTCTAACATTTGACGTAACGCTTCACGAAGAGAAAACGTGTCAAATCTATAAAGACGTAAAATGAGTGCCTGATTGCTTTTATTCTACCAAGATACGAGTCGAAGAATCGACAATAAATAAAAAATAACACCTTTCAAAAACCTCCAACTCGGCTAATCTTTTCACATCATGGTGTTCGAGTTGTTGAGTACATTCCGAAGTCGGACAAGTTATCATAGCACTACCTTTACTACTTAAATAGGACTCTATGTGTCTATTAACGCAACCACGACACACTCTATTTGAGTGTATGCAATTATTAGTTATTTTCAGAAAGTCTGACGCAGCTATATCTTCACAACAAATAGAGCATTCTTTAATATTGCTCTCCGTTGTATTTTGGTTGTTGTTGCTGCTGTTGTTGCTGCTATTGTTGCTGTCGTTGTTGCCGTTGTTGCTGCTATGGCTAGTGACGGAACTGGAATTCTGTGGTAAGTGCAACGAATGATTACGGCGGCGCTCGTTAGAGAGCTCATTCCCCATGATCTTTGATATGAAATTCAAAGTTCCAGCTAAAGAATTAGAGTAAAGACAGACAGTTTTGGCGATGAGAAACAAGATTTACAAATATGTAATATCTATCGATAATTCTCCATTTTGAATTTGTTAGAACTGCATAATCAGATCGCATCTAATGGTAAAATTTACGATGTTTAGATCAACTTTATTCATTTTAAAATTTCGAAAGGCATTTTCTTTGCCTACAAACCCAAGAGTAAATAGAACTTTTAACTTTAGTCGTGGCATTAGTAGCATGCGAAGACTCGAAGGAAAATTTGTGTTAATGTAATATTCAAAATTGATGAATCTGTATGTGATTTTTCGATTATGTTGCATACTTTCCATCTATATCGATAGTACAGGCGCTTCAGCGGGTATCGGTGAAGCATGTGCAAAAGAATTTGCAGCTGCAGGATCAAATTTGGTATACATCTTAAAGAGTTGTCTATTCACTCTATTCGGATCGAATAATAACAATATTTACTTGGTAGGTTCTTACAGCTCGACGATTAGATCGAATAGAAAATTTGAAAAGTGATCTTTCAAAAAAGTATCCACAACTAAAAATTCACACTCATCAACTGGACGTACGTGATAAAGTGAATGTTGATAAGTTGGTACCCGGTTTACCATCCGAATTCAAGGATATTGATATACTTGTTAATAATGCTGGTATATATGTATAAATAATCAGTATACACTCCCTTTAATGTCAATTCTCGATTAGATTGAATGTTTGATTTGAAAGATTTTTAAATTATCGGCTTTTTTTGTGGAATCATATATAATTGAAAGGCCTTGTTATTGGGATTGACAAAATTGATAATGTCACCGATGAAGCGATCGATACGATGATTGACACAAATGTTAAAGGTCTCATATATGTAACGCGAGCTATATTGCCCGGGATGAGAGAACGCCAACGCGGTCATATTATTAACATAGGATCTGTATCAGGTAGCTGTTGTTTATTTTATTGAATATTCAATATTTAGGATTCTAAAGTCTTTTATGCCATTAGGAAAACAGGTCTATCCTGGGGGCGGTGTTTACTGCGCGTCAAAACATGCTGTAAATGCGATTTCAAGAACACTATTGTATGAACTGGTTGATACGCCGATTCGCGTGACCGAAGTGAATCCTGGAATGGTAGAGACAGAATTCTCGGTAGTCCGATTCAAAGGTGACAAAGAGAGAGCTGAGAAAGTGTATCAAGGGCTTGTATGTCTTGATTTTTAACGCTTTTTTTTTCATGCGCGTAGTTTATTGGTTTATTAACAATGTAGTATTAATTTAGAATCCTTTGACTGGTGAAGATATCGGTATGAAGATATGAAAAATAAATTTCCGTGTTCTTTAATTTATAAGTGTGTATTCACGTTAGAATTTTATCATATAGCCGAGACGGTGGTATTTGCAGCTTCGCGCCCAGATCATGTTAACATAGCAGGTAAGTTCCTTCAAGAAATTATTATTTGAATTCTATTAAACTAATAATCGTTTAAGCTATTTATTAAAATATTTATTATAATATTCATATCAATTAAAGATGTGTTGATCTATCCAGTTAATCAAGCGGCTGTCACAACCTTGCATCGTCCGCTTCTACAACAAGATCAAGAAAAGAAATAAATACTATCTTGTATTAAGTACAACCAACTTATCGCTCTTTAATTTATGCCAAATCTTTGTATTTACTGTATAATTAATCTTTTCAATTTTGACTTTATCACTTCGAAATTACATAAAACATTAGATAAGTTGTTTTTATATATCCAATTTGCTGGAGATAAAAAAATATATTCACTATATAATTGTTGTCAAAGATTCACCACTACACTTTCAATTCGTCTTAGCATTGCAATTTACTACAGATTCTCACATAACAAGTTAGCTTAAAGGTCTTATTGATTAGAGTTCAGATTCATATGTTTATTTAGGAAAGACACCAAAGAATCCTTTGATCGATCGAACACAATAACGACAACACGTGAAATGTTTCATTCTTTACTTCCATTTACAATAGACCACGTGAATAAATCGTATTTAAATTATCAGTATTTTATATAACAAAATACTCACGTGAAAACTCGTCGTTATTTTATTACTATATCGCAATATTGCATTGTTTCACAGCATAATTAAACAAGTTAAACTTTATTCTTTATTTTGCATTCTAATTGATATTCTAATTAATAACCCAAAAATTACATTGTCAAATGGCCGGAGGAACTCGCTACGACCGTGATCGGGGTAGAGATCGTGAACGAGAGAGTGGCTCTTCTCGGCGTATACGCGAAGAGAACAGTCCTGCTAGTGGTGAGGTTGGCAGGGAATTTGCCAACCGCTATGGGGTATCGTTTCGTTACGTGTAGTAGACGGGATGATAAGGTCCCTTAAGTGGAGTAATATATCGTATACGGTTCCTTGTTTGGGGTTAACACACAAAAATGGTTTTATCCAGGGTCTTTTCTCTGAAAAAGACTGGAAGTGTTCCATGTGAGTCTGTTATTAGAAAAATACCTTTGCTTATTCTTATTGAAATCGATTTGTCTTATGACAAAATAAAAATCGGAATTATTTGGAATTTATTTTTTGTATTAGCTGCTCAAATATTAACTGGGCTCGCCGAAATGAATGTAATCAATGCAAAACGCCCAAGCCTGGTCTTGAAACTACTTTAGGTTCTCGTGAAGGACGCGGTGGCGGTTTTTTAGAACGAGATGAAGTAGTAGAGTATCGTCAATCCCGTGATGCTGAAAAAGATGATGAATGGGATGAATTTGGTCGAAAAAAGAAAAAGAAGCGTCAAAATGACGGAGGAAACGTCCACAACAATCTAAATAATAACAACAATAATTGGAGTAGTAATAGTAGCACTATCAGTAAAAATGGTGAACTATCTGGTAAGCCTACTAGTATCGAAGACACAAAGAAAATTAAAGTAGAGGAGGAAGAGGAGGAAGAAGGAGATGATGATGATCGGTAGGCTTTATTTAAAATTGAGTCTTCTTTTGAATTCATTCATTATCGTTTATTATTATATATGTACTCGTCTAAATTGGCTAAAGCTGGAATGCGTGGGATGACATTCTTGGAAAGAATGAACTAAACGACTTAGAGAATGGAAAGAATCCCGAAGAAAATTCAGGTAAAGAAAAACGAGAGCTGTCACCAGAATATTATCGACGTCGCTCCTCACGTTCCAGATCCCCGTATCGTCATGATCGTTCATTATCGCGGGACAGAGGATCCAGACGAAGCAGGTCAACGTCACTTGAACGAAAAACAAATCACCGATCTGGTTCCAGAGATAGAAAAAGATACGGGTATGATGATCGCAGAAGATCAAGATCTCGTTCTCGCGATAAAAGAAGATCTTACCAAAGTCGATCAAGGTCAAGCACTCGAGATAGAAAGCGATCCTATTATCGAAGCCGATCACGAAATCGTCATTACTGAAAGTACATTTGGTAAAGCTTACATGTTTTTTTGGAATTTACTTGGCACTGAAATATATAATTAGGGTTACGTTCCTTTTTTGATGGTCAAATTTACATTTTTATTTTCTTTTAAATGATTGTTTATATATTAGGACTAACTTCTTGTAATAATATCATAAGATATATTATTGAATATGAAATAATAAATATCAGACATTTTATTTATTAATGATAACAATAAAGTAACAAATCATGTGACAGTATGTGCATATCATAATGTCATGTGACCCAAGCTCAAATAGGAATTTGCAATTCAATTTTATAGAAAAAACAAGGACTTAAAATTTGTGCGTACTGGTACATACGTAGTATGAATGAAATGAATGAGGGACAGAAGATATTAATATATAATCCAGACGTTAATGACAAAGATTACCATTGTTCTGCAGGTGTAATGATAATGATAAGGCTCATAAATGATTGTATCATCTATAATTTTTAACGTTAACGTGTGTCAGCTATAACTCCTTACAGTGGAAATTCAACACACTGTACCACCAGAACAATTTTCCGTACCTTTTCCAAGTTTCTATGATAGCGATAGTGAGTCTTCCCGCCCAAAAAGCACAAAATTTACAGCTTTTTTGGATATCATTATTGTATTTTCAAGTTTCAATAAAATCAACGAAGCACAATAATATTATATTATTTATAATATATATAATATACCAGTAGTAACCTTTTAATAATGCGACAACAATAAATCTAAATAATAAAAATCAGAGATATTTTTCGCGAAAAAGTAAAAAAAAAAGAAAAATACTCTTATCAATACATATATACATAAATTTCTGTGTAATAGTTGCAAGCAAAGAGAGAGAACGTGTTTTGAACAAAAACACACAACAAAAAAGAACACTTGTTTCCTTTACACTTTCTCAATAAAACCTATGCAAATGCCATCTACACAACCCACTGCAACTTCAATATCTGCTCCCGTTTCAATAGACAACAAATATTATACGGATTTTATTCCAAAGGATTTACCAACACTAATAATAGAAGGGGCGCAAGCTACAAATAGGAATAACACAGTAGAGCAAAGCCACCACGATGGGCAAAGAAAATTGTTGCACAGAACTGGTGAAAGTTTTAATACTGTTGGTAGTGGGTCGCTTTCTTCAACCGAAGATTTCGAACAATATCACCCTGCTATCGATATTCTTGATATTGATAGTCCTTTGATAGAATCGGATATTGACGAACAACTATTACAGATTGAACAATTTGGTCCCACCGTTTTATGCGACTCGCCTGCTCCCTTAGAACTACCAGTGTATTCACCTCCTGATGGGGAGGTTTTGAATGAAGCTATAATGGCCATTAAAACTGATACTCAAGAAAATCCTCAGATACCACCGAAGCAACTAACTTCTACGAAACAACAACTACAGAAGAATTCAAAAAACCAACAAAAACATCCACAAAAAACACAATCAAATAGTTCTCCCGCGCCAGTTATTACAACTTCTGACCCTAATGGTGAAGATGTAACAAATAGTAATGTGGCGAGCGAGCAACACGTAAAAGTGAAACCAAAAAAAATTCTGGGTAATTATATGCTAACAAAAACTTTAGGTGCTGGTAGTATGGGAAAGGTAAAACTCGCTACTCATTCTTTGACCAATGAAAAGGTATGAATTGAATTATTCTATTAATTTATAACGGGAGAAGAATTGATAACATAAAGATTCTAAATTGATATATATTTTTATTTTTTTTTTAGTTAGCTGTAAAAATAATTCCACGGACACTTTTATCTGATAAAGAGACAAAAGATAAAGATCCATCCACAAAAGAAGACAATAAAGAGATTCGTACTATTCGAGAAGCATCGATAATGCTTCTATTATATCATCCATATATTGTAAAATTAAATGAAGTAATGAAGTTAGCAGACCACTATTATATGTTTTTTGAATATGTGAATGGCGGTCAAATGTTAGATTATATTATTAGTCATGGCAAACTAAAAGAAAAACATGCGAGGAAATTTGCTAGACAAATTGCAAGTGCTTTAGGTAAATATTATTTTGTTTCTTTTTTTTTTGAATTCTTAGAGAAATCTCTTTTTCTAGGAAAACATACTAAATTTGTAATAACAGATTAATTTTTGTATATAATATTATGAAAATATAGATTATTGTCATCGAAATTCTATTGTGCATCGAGGTATTTATTTTGGGCTAATATTAGACAAATGTGCCTTTATGATTTTATGCGTTGACTAAGCAAATTCATTTATTCTTGTTATTATCAAGATTTAAAAATAGAAAATATTCTTATTTCTAAAAGCGGCGCGATCAAAATTATTGATTTTGGATTATCAAATCTATACTCGCCGCGAGGACATCTCTCTACATTTTGTGGTTCATTGTATTTTGCGGCGCCTGAGTTATTAAATGCTAAATTATATACGGGTCCTGAAGTTGATGTTTGGAGTTTTGGAATTGTTCTTTATGTACTTGTCTGTGGTAAAGTTCCCTTTGATGACCAAAGTATGCCCGCATTACATGCAAAGATTAAAAGAGGAATAGTCGAGTATCCCAGTTGGCTAAGTAACGGTGAGCTTAATTCGCTATAAAATAAATTTGTCGAGTCATTATTTTTTTTTTCATTCTTGTGCTTACAGTATAAAATGTGATTATCAATTTTAGATTGTAGGAATTTACTTTCACGAATGTTGGTAACAAACCCTGCTAATCGTGCATCACTTGCCGAAGTAATGAATCATCCTTGGATGAATAAAGGCTTTGATAAACCGCCAGAAAATCATTTGCCTCCACGTTCACCGCTAACTCTTCCTCTTGATCCCGACGTAATTCATGGAATGGCTGGTTTTGAGTTTGGTTCCGATCAAGAGATTAGATCGAAGCTTGAAAGCATAATCAAAAGCGATTCCTATCAAAATTCAATAAAAGTACATCAAGTTACTAGCAGCAATAACAATAATAATGGTCATGACCTTAAGAAAAAATCTAGCGGTTTTGAGTTCTATCGCAAAAAATTAGGAACCAGTAGTAATACATCTCAAGATGATAAGGCAATCACAGCAGATCCTAGTCAGGCTGTTCATCCTTTAATATCAATTTACTATTTAGTCAAAGAAAAAATGGAAAGAAATCGTCTAATTCAGCTTGGAATCACCCCAAAATTTGGATCTTCATCTTCGTCATTTGAAAAAGGTACGATGCATATACCACATATTCCTGTTCCTGATCCGTCACATTCTGGAAGTAATGGTAATAGTTATGATCCAACTATTCGAGGAGCTATAATGCCTGGAATTTCAAATTCTAATTCATCTGTGGTAAGACGTGCAACTGTTCCTTCTGGAACAAGAACACGTTCAAGGACGAATGGCGAGAATGGATTGACTAATATGGCTAGCGTTCCTCCTGCTGTTGATGAAACAGAAATTCCTGAAGAACGTTTGGATGAAAATAGTGGCGAATTAAATTATGGAAGAAAAAGTAATGAACATTCTAATAATAGTGGTGGATTAATAAGACGTTTAAGTTTAGCTATTGGCAATCAAATGCGTGAGACATTACCATCATCACCAACATCTACGAATTCTGGTACATTATCTCCCAGAAGCAGTGAACATCGACGTCATGGCTCTTCTCCTAATGGTCCAAAGCGAGAAGGCTCTGGTCATTTGTCTTCACGTATTACAAATATGTTATCTAGAGCGACTTCAGTATCTGAAGTTGAGTATCGTCGTCATCGATCAAGAAGTTCTACTGGTGGGAATCGGCTCAGCGGTACTCAAAAAATACCTGGATCCAAAGCACCGGTTGGAGCATTACCACAAGTTGATTCTCCTCCCCTTGTTACATCAACACCATCTACTCCTAATCGATCTTCTTTTCATCAAACTGCATCATCATCAACTTCAACTTCAAGTCGTGGTTACCATCAACGCAGTACTTCCACTAGTGGTGCTTCCATGATAAAATCTGTAATAGGAAGTAACAAAGCCTCCAAAGGATCAAAATCAAATGATAATGACTTTAATTTTTCACCTTCTTCTTCAATACCCGGAGGAAAAGCAGATGCTTATATAAGACCAGTTTTTCTCAAAGGTCTTTTTAGTGTGGCTACAACTTCCACAAAACCACCATCAACTATTCGCCAAGATCTTATTCGGGTCTTGGAACGAATTGGTGTGAAATGGCGAGAAGGCCGTGGCGGATTCGAATGCGTACACATTCCCAGTATTGACCTTAAATCAGTTGTACATGGAAACAATAATAATATGTCTGGAAGTAAAAGTAGTAATCAGTCTACATCACAAGCAGTTTTAACTAATCATCACCACGCACATTTTAGTCGAACTGATCGCAGAAGCAGTGTCTCTTCTGTACATTCTGCTGGATCAACACCCTCAGCTTATAAAGATAGTTATATACAAGGTCAAGATTTGGAATTTTCACCAGACGGAGAAGTTCGGCTGTCATTATCTCCTAATAATGAAGATCGAAGTCAAGCCATTACCAGTAGCGGCGGCAGCACCAATTATAAAAACTCGAATAAAGGACAAGGATCAGCGAATGTTACTGATCTTGTAGTACGGTTTGAAATATTTATAGTTAAAGTCCCATTATTACTTGGGGTACATGGATTACAATTTCGACGAGTTGCCGGTGATCCGTGGCAATACAAAAATATGTGCTCAAAGATTCTAGGAGAATTGAAATTGTAATTGATTAATTCATGTGAGAGTATGTTCGTATGGGTAGTAGAAATTAACAAAAGACGATTTTTAACTAGATGTTTGTTTGGATGATTAGAAGTTAGTTTTGTCTTATTTTCTATACATAATTAATATATAGTAAGGATCATTATGTAAAGTGTATGTATTGAACATCATCAGAAGTGGTCCTTGATCCTTTATTATATTCATTTATATATATTATATATATTATTATAGTATTTTTATATGTACAAACATTTGAATTTTTATTCGTTGGGTATTTTTTTACAACTTATTTTTTGATCCGCGAAATAAAAACAAAAACAAATTCAAACTGGTTTAATAACGCTCAGCCCAAATTAGGTTAGGGCTAGGACATAGACTAATATCTGCGAAATCACGTGAAATATGATATCATATTGCATGTTTGTACAGACTCGAAATTAGCCAATTTCATCTCTTCGTGCACATACTTTTTTATCTTAACAATAGAGAAAAAATTTAATATCGGAACAAACACAATTTTCAAGCAAACTAAAAGGAATTTTTATTAATCGAAACACACCTGTGTTTATTATATCAAGATTTTCGTTAAATCGAATATAAAATTAGCTGAAAAAAGTTCATTATAAATCAAATTTCAGTTATATCGAGGTTTGACTGTAAATCTTGAAATCTAGAATTCGAACATTTGTTTGAATATGTATTCATATTCTGTTCCGTTCCGAAATTTCTGATGTTCTGATTGGGATTAATCAATCTAAAAATTTCCGAAATTTCAAAACACCGGAAAAAGATGCGATTGTAGAGGGGGGATGATTACAGTCAAACCCCTCTATAGTCACACCCATTTATAGTCAGATCCCTCTATAATCATCTTATTTTGCTTTTCCATTTATATAAACATAGTAAAAAAATCTATAGTTACAACTCCTCTATAGTTATCCAAGTTTGCTTTTTCAAGAGTGATGATTATAAAGGAATTTGACTATATATGAAGGGATGATTATTTATATTTCATTAAAAAATATTAGAACAATAATATTTTTAGCTAATATTTTAAAGAATAAAGAAATAGAGCTTGATCTTAAATGTACAAAGCATTTTGATTGGATCTTATCTAAGAGTGAGAAAAAGAAAACATCTCTATCAAAATAATATATTATAATTTGAATAATTCAAATATATAATATTATTTTTAGTATAATATTAAAATAATAGAATTAATTCATAACTTAAATTTTAACTTTAAATAATTTTGGATTATTTATAAAAATAATTCAATAATTTTAAATATAATATAATCTAGAATATTTAGTTTTGTATTATAAAATCTAAATAATGTTATAACTCATAATTTCTTAATTTTATATCAAAAATATTTAATATATCTAATATATATATTCAATATATTTAATATTATTGTATAACGAACTTTAATCGAATATTATACTGGATTATTCATACTTAATATTATTGGATTATAAATATCTTATATCTTATTGGAAGAATCTAATCATGTGAAACAAGCAAACAAATAAGCAAGTGAACAAACAAACAAGGGGGAACACTAAAGCAAGGTAGTGGATTAAGATCGATCCAGATTAAGTCAATACAGATTAAAAAAATAAATTGGAT